GCGTCAGTTGTTGAAACTTAAGGTGCGTTGGTCTAAAGCTTTAGGTGCGTGGTTTTCCTTCTGAAAGTGCGTTATTTTCCTTTTTAAGGTGCGTTGTTTTCTTTCTTAAAGTGCGCCATTTTTTATAGTTTGCTTCATTAATTATGGACGCGCCTTTTAAAAAAAAATTCATTGATTTGAGTCGTTGATCTATATTTGATCAATGACTCATATCTAACTCCATCTTTCACCTGGGAGCATCTCCACACTTAAACCGCGTCCTATATATGAGTGGCATCTCCGCACTTAAACCGCGTCCTATATATATATATATAAAAGCCTAAGCTGATAGTTGGATTGCACATTAATGGCTATATGCTCACACGCCCCCTCACGTTTGCGGTGGGTTCCAAGCAACACGTGGATCGGTAAACCGTAGTCGCTTACGAGTGGCGTTGAGATTTGAACCCACGACTTTTGGTCTGGCTCTGATACCAAATTGAAGCATGTGCTCCATCTCAACTAAAAACCTAAGCTAATAGTTGGATTGCACATTAATGGCTATATGCTCATATATATATATACACGCGCGCACACACACACTAAGGGTCCTGTGAGAACAGTAACATAAGAGACAAATAAGAACCAATTTTAGCTTTACATCTGTAAAAATTTGACGAATCTGATAAGATTTTTTTTTAAAAAAAATGTGGTGATATTTTCGTAATTATCATCAACTTCACTATGCAAACTTGAACACAAATATGCAAATTAAACCTGGTAAATTTTATAAAATCAACGAAAAAGCTAAAATTTAAATCTAAACTGTAAATGCTAGACCTTAAGTAGTAAAAGGGAACCACTAAACCAAATAAAATAAAAAACTCAGTAATAAACTCTAAAATCAAAATACTAAGTGCAATACACTTTCACATTTTTGCAAATGCAATCTTTTAATATATACTAAATATGTGAAATCTACAAACTTAATAAGAGTCAATAAAATTAGGCCCCTAACGGGAACAAAAAATGTTAGTGTAATTGTTTGTTGAAATGAACGGTTCATATTATTTTGATTTTAGTATTATTATTATTATTTTTCCTACTTTACCCTCTATTATATCATTTATTTTTCTTAAATACCCTTGTATTCCGTCAGTGTAAACTTTAGTAACGGAATAATCCGTTAACTATTTATTATTACTCTTAACTTAATCATTGATTTTCATAAGGAAGATCTTAGGTTCGGACCTCATCCCAATCAAAATTGACATAACTGTTAAACATATACTATGAATATGTTAACGTGTATTAAAAATACAATATAAAATTTAACATGAACTTTGGTCAATTAATTAGAATCACGCATTGGGCATTGATGAAACGATACACCTATTTACAGTATATATTTAACACGGATGAAAAACTATGCCTATTATCATTATCTTTTAGGAAAATTGGAATGAGGATTTGATTATGTTTTTAAAGGTGCACTGCATCAAGGCACTAAAATTTCATTGAAGCATACCAGGGGACTAGATTAAATCAAGAATTCATTTTTGCCGAGAGTGGCAACAAGAGGAAGCTTGGATCACGGCAATTAATAGGGTTTTGTGTTGCAAAAATTATGCTTGGGTACTATCCAGTGAGGGTGTTTCCCTCTAAAATTGCTATTACACTAGTTAATTTTATGAAAAAATATGCAATAGGTTATAGCTATGCATAGGTACTATCCGCGTATCTCGCCGCTCCACGAGATCCGCTCTCCAAATTGCATAAGGATTCCGCCATACTTCTGTGTTTGTTCGAGTCCTCGTGGGAGTCGGCTGATCTACCTTTCGATAGACTCTTCGCTTAGTCGTCCACCTGTGCATCTTCTCGCAACTCCTCTTAGCACTCGCGTGCCCTTGAGATGACTTCATGCTTGTTCAGCCTTCCATCCCAGTGTTTGCCAATAGTCATTTGACTATCCTCTCGACTATTAACGCTTCCCGTCTGGTTGTCGACTGCTTGCTCGGTTGCCCGAACAACTACTCCTATGATTCACTTTGTTGCCTGACCGGTTGATTTCTCTCCCCAGCTAGCTATCTGACCAGCTGACTGGAGCCCTCATTCATCTGCATGACTGGGTAGACACCTTACTTGGCTCTCTTGCTTACCCGACTGACTGCTCTCCTTCCCATCTGACTACGACCGAGCTAGACGACCCCGACACTTCGTTCCGGTCGACTGCTTAAGTTGCCTCCGATGGGCACTGCATCCCTGCCCTTGTGCCTACCTCCAGTTTCATTTATTGCTTGACCCGACCCAAAGTGTACCATGCAGACTCTCCCTCCTATCAATTGAAATATTTACTTTTATGAAAAATTTGATAATCTTGCTTTGATATACGCTAGGATACCAAATGATACTTTGATAAATTATGAAATACTAAGTTAAAAATACACATTGGGCATTGGAATATTCGCGCAATGCGCGTGTGGTAACTAGTGTTAATACTAAATGTGCAAGATGTTAATGCTAACTGTGCAAACCTAGAAAAGTCTGAGAATGGCATATTTTAGTGTTCAAGTTTGCATAACAAAGTTGGTGATAATTACGAAAAATGCTACTATACTTTTTTTATTTGATCTGATTCGTTGGATTTTTCTAGATATAAGACTGAGAGTGGTTCTTATTTCTCTCTTAAGGACTTGTTCTCATTTGATCTATGGTATAACAATCCGTGATCAGGTTTATTGATTTAGGGAAAGAAATTTAAAAAAAAAAAAAAACAAAACAAAACAAAAACAAAATTGATGAAGGAGACAATGTCCAATCGTTATGCTGTGGAATCGTGTCCACCTTGCAAGGTGGACACGGTTCTATATTCATAATTACTGAACTATATGTTCATAATTATAAAGCTATATATTCATAATTGTTGAACTTCATATTCACAATTATTGAACTCTATATTCACAATTACAGAACTCTATGTTCATAATTACTGAACTATATGTTCATAATTATAAAGCTATATATTCATAATTTTTGAACTTCATATTCACAATTATTGAATCTCTATATTCATAATTACAGAACTATATGTTCTTAATTATGTTCACAACTCTATGTTCATAATTATAGAACAATATGTTCATAATTTTTGAATAATATATTCATAATTATGAACCGTTTAATTTGCAAGGTGGACACAATTTCACAGCATAATTTGCGGACGACGTAGACCTGGATTTCATATTTTAAGCCCTTGGTCCATGGCTGATGACATTGTTAAGCCTTAATTTCGAGACTAATGTCGTAAAAGTTGGTCCAGGTCCAAGTTAGGTATGATAGTTAAACTTAATTAAGAGACTCTTAAGTTTTGAATTTTAACATATGATGACCAAACTTTATTAAAAAAAAAAAAATGCATTATTGATACCAAGTGGAGGGTCTATATATATAATCCGATCCATTGCTTAAATAAATAATAAAATTCAAGTGTTTAAGTCATTGACAATTTGAGTCTTTTTAGGTTGGACAGTAAAATTAATTAAAATTTCACATCTGGTAGTATAACAATGCCAAACTTAAAGGGAGAACGCTTAAAATTTATAATGAAATTATCAAATTTAAAAGATTTAACCAAAACTGTTCTAAACAACAAAGGTTTAATTCGTTATTTTTTTCACCTATAATCCTAAATTATTTACTTCTAATTTTTGTACTTTGAATGCAACTATTAAATGGATATAATTTACAATGCTCACATTCAATCAACTGAATTTTTACATTTAATAAGTTTAATGTTAATATGTTATATGATGGTTGATGGTACGTATATCATGACGCACAAAAGATAAACTCAAGCAAACAACTAACCCAAAAATTACTGAAGGTATCATTATGATAAATAAATTCTCAATATTTTCTTTTTACGTTTATTAATTAAAGGTAACTCGGCCAAAGATCTTATGCTTAGTGACACCAAATTGTTCTCCCATATGAGAAGCTGTGGGTTCAAGCCTCAATGGAGGTGATAATGTGATATTGACTCTTTGTGTTTCAGTAGATTGAAAAAGTAGTTATGAACAGAGTTAGTAGTACTCAAAAAATAAAAGTAACTCATTTTTTGTTTACTTTTTTTTTTTTTTTGGTACTACTGAGTCAGTTACAACTTACAATGCAGTTTTACATTCTCAACCTACTGAAACACAAAGAGTGAGTCACTTCGTACCACTAGACCACAAGGTCATTGACCATTTTTTGTTTACTTATTTATTTTAAATATTTTTATTATCTTTTAAACTATGATAGAATTTTTAACGCAATTTCTTAAAAGCTTTATAAGCTAACGTCAAATTAATTAATACAAAAGAAGTTGAACCGTAAATGCATTAAGTTAAAAATCTTATTAATTTAATTACATAAGTTTGAGAGAATGAGTAACTCTTAAAATACAAAAGAAAAGGAAGGTATATTCTACAAAATTTACTATACTTTTTTTTTTTGGGTTTTTGGGTGTGGGGGGGGGGGGGGGGGGGGGGATGTCTAACAAAAAGTACCTTTTATGGTAAATTTAATACTCCCTTGATCTCATTTTGTAATAATAATAATAATAATAATAATAATAATAATAATAATAATAATAATAATAATAAGTGATTGTGGTGGTAATAATAATTTGGAAACTAGCTTGAAGAGAGATGAAGGAAAGGAGATCAGCGAGACAAAAAATAAAAAATAAAGAATCCAAAAAATGTCTTCCAACAAAAAATCTAAGAAGACATTTCACTAAATTGGGTCTCTTTTTTGTTCGTTGATCAAAATAAATATTTTCTTTTGATTTTATTTTATTTGAATATTCAAATACATAAAAATTTTAAAAAATGACTTCAGTCATTTTCGGGTTTATCATCTATTTTTTCCTCTATCTACTTTAAAGTCGTTAGATCTTTCTAAGGGGCACTCCATAGTGTTGTTATTTGCACTATGAAGTGCCCCTTAACAACAACAACATAGAGTGTATCCCGCGATACGTATAGGTATAGTGAAATTGTTTGTCTTTTACAATTTATGGTTTAGTTTTTTGTTTGGTTTATGGTCTAAATTTTTTAATTTGATTTAATTTGAAAGTTTACTTTAGAGTTTAGTAGTTATGTTGTCTTTAGAGTGTACCTAGCAACAATATAAAGCACATACATTAACAATATAAAATGTACCAAACGGTATCATTAACTGCAACAAATGTGTAAGTTGATTGCACTTAGGGTCCACCTTAAAAGAAAATCAAAAAAAAAAAAAAAAAATCTTTTAGGGTTCACCTTTTACTCTTTAGGAGTTTAGTATTTATGATTTAGCTTTGAGTTTAGTTTTTCAGATTTATCGACATATGCACTTTATAGTTTTATTTACTTGCACTCTGTAGTGCTGAAAGTTACACTATATGTTATTGTTAATTGTACTTTAAATTAAAGTTTAATTTATTTATAAAAAGTGATCACTGATCTCAACTGCCATCAAAGTTCATCAATGGTCGAGCATTTTAGTAAAAAAAAAAAAAAAAATACAGGGTCAACTTTATAATTATTACAAACTTTCAATTTTGCAATATTTATGAAACTAACATTGTTTTTTTCCTCTTATTTTTCAGCAATATCTAGGAGCTTGTTCTCACTTAAACCTTATCCGGTTCATATGAGAACCAGTCACAATGTGAAAATTGTGGTCTAATCTAGATTGTCCGTTGGGCAAGATCTGAAAGCTAGGATTGAATGGTTATTTAATATTTGTTTTTCTTATTTATTGTGCGAGGAAAATTTTATTAATTTTGTACATGGTTTCTTTGTATGCAATTTCCTTATAAATTATGTTGTATGATATTAAGAGATTATAACTGTGATTTTAGGGAGTTTTTTTTTGGTAGTTTTCTTTGTTTTCGTCTGGGTCTGTCCTCATTTTCCTTCGTTCCCCATTTTGGATTTTTCCGCCATTGGTTGTCTCAACATGGCTTCAATTTTGTTCTCTTCAAAAATTTTTTTTTTTTTTTGTATGCAGTTTATTGGAGTATGCTTTGATTAGGTTTATTGATGAATTTGTGATTTGGGAGGGGGGGGGGGGGGTGCGCGCATCGAGGACGTTGAGCTGTGCATTGATACGCAAGGTGTGGTGCAACGCAGAGCTTTAGGTTGTGCATTGGTTGAAGGACATTGGCTATCGCACTTGACATGAGGTTATGCGTTTGGTGGTTTTAATTTTCTTTTCTTTTAAAAAATTTGTCATTGGGGGTATTTTTCTTGGGTTGGTGCATCATAGGCCGTGCGGATGTGCATCGGTGTGGTGCATCATAGGACGTTGGGATGTGCATTGGTTGTGGTTGAGAAATAGTATATCCGCAGATAACCAATAGTGCAGACACTTGAGTGCATTATTATAGATCATGAGTATACTATCGATTATCTGTAGATGCACTAACAACTGGTTCCAAATGCACTATAATAATCACAAAAATGACACTATATTTTTCCTTTAATTTTTAACTTTTGATCATCATATATGCACGAATGAGATTAAACCACATTTTTCATATCTATACATTTTTAAGAAAAAGGTTACTCTCACATAAAACTTTCGCTCGAAATATTTTATCATTCACATGCACATAGTTTTATGATGCAAATATGTATTAATGCATGATATATTTATTGCGAGTTAATTTCAACGGAAGTCCCTTGTTTTTTGTGGCAGTTTCAAATTTAGTCACAAATTATTATTTTTGTAATTTAACACCTCAGACTATCATATTTGGACACTTTTAATCCTTTTGATAACTTTTCCGATCCGGTGAAATCCTATTTTAGACAAGGACATTTTCGTCTCTTTAATTTTTATTTTATTTTTTCCCATTTTCAACGACGATTTTTGTTTTCTCGTTTTGATCTCTTCAACCGTGGATTGCATTCATCTCCTTCAACATATTCAGCAAGCTCAAAGGTGGACTAACCACGTACAATTTCATATGCTACTAAGTTTCTCAACACCACTTCTGAGTCACTTCTTAAAGTAATTTCCAGGAGACCAATATATCGACTCTTGACTATGCTATTTCTAATCCCACCATTTAATAAATTAATATTTATTAACATTTAAAATTAACTTTGATTGCTATATAATCTATATCTATATCTATATCTATATATATATAAAAGTAAAATCCTCCTAACAAATTTTCCCCCCAAAACTTTTGTAGTAAAACTTATTTGGTAAGTAAATGTCAAATGGAAATTAAATAAATAAATAAATAAATAAATAAATAATAATAATAATAATAATAATAATAATAATAATAATAATAATAATAATAATGTTATTTCCTTAAATAAATAAATTATTATATTTTCCCTTAAATAAATAAATTATTATACTTTCCCTTAAATAAATAAATTATTATACTTTCCTTTTGAATTAGTATTTTCTACCTATAAATACAAGAGCTTCTTCAATCAAAGAATCTCATACTCATCTTTCTGCTTTCTTTTTGTATGAATTTTCAACATTTTTCTAACTATATTCTCACGTACTTCAATATGTTTTGCAGTTTGGACATCATGAATAGCTTCATCAACAATATCTTCTTGAAGCTCGCCCAAGAGGTGACTCGCTTGGCCCACTACAACAAGAAGCCGATAATCACTTCCCGCGAGATCCAGACCGGCATGAGATTGGTTCTTCCTGGCGAATTGGTAAAGCACGTTGTCTCTCTAAAAACACTAAAGCAGTCACCATATTTACAAGCTCTTAGATGAAATCATTTAAATCTATGTTTCCTTTTTATATAATCTCGATTAGGGATTAATAGATGTAAAGTAACTTGGATTTGAGTTTAATTTCATATTATTCTTCCAAAAGGTTTAATTTCATATTATAAGTATTGTTATCTATCTTCAACTATCAGTGAATCGATTAGCATTCTCAAAAAAAAAATTAAAAAAAATTGAATGTATATATCTACGTGCATTTAAGATGCAACATGTGTATGATTCATTAGGCTTTGAGGCAGAAGAACACATCTGGGTACATTGCATATTAGTGGATTTGTATCTCATTGCAAAAAAATATCCATACAATTAATTAATTAATATAATTACAATTATCATTATTCTAATTCAAAAAAAAAAACTAAAGAATTAATTGTAATAATGAAATTTGTTATAATATTTTGTTACTAGACACAGAAATCAGACCAAAAGAAAAACGAAATTAATATTAAAAATGGACTCGAATTAAAAAAATGTGCTTAATAAGTAAATAACTAATTTGCTAGACAGAAAATTAGGGTAAAGGAAAAAGAAAATGATTATTAAACATTGTACCAGATTGTTTTTATGATTGAAAATGAATATTACAAACGTACCAGATTATTTTTATGATCAGAAATAATCAAATAAGAATGAATTTTACACACGAGAATCTATTATTAATATTCTGTTATACTAATAGGCATGGGAATCATGCCAAATGAAAAAAGGATTTAATATTAAAAATTTATTGAAAATATAACACAGTTTTCCCTACGAAAAAATTAGTAACCACCAAATGAAATATTAGGAAAAAATTATGAAGAAAAAAGAAATGGAAACAAATATTAACTCTTTCTATGAGTGAAAAAATGAAATGAATATATCCATATTTCACTTAAAATATAATCAGTAATTATATATTTATAATTATATTAATTATTTATGAAGAAAAAAGGAAATGAATATGAAAGGAAAAACAATAATATTTAGACACGAAAATCTATTATTAATATTCTGTTACTAATGGACACGGGAATTAGGCCAAATGAAAAAAAAAATTAATATTAAAAATTTATTGAAAATATAACACCGCTTTCCCTACGAAAAAATTACTAACCACAACGTGAAATATTAGTAAAAATTATGAGGGAAAAAGAAATGGAAATGAATATTAACTCTTTCTATGAGTGAAAAAGGAAATGAATATATTCATATTTCACTTAAAATATAATCAGTAATTATATGATTATAGTTATTATAATTATATTAATTATTTATGAAGGAAAAATGAAATGAATATATTAATAGTTTACTGGAAATATAATCAGTAATTATATTTTTATAATTATATTACCTTTTAATTATGTGGAAATGAATATTAATTCTTTTTATGAACGAGAAAGGAAATGAATATTTCACAAAGAAATCTGTTATTAATATCATGTTACTAATCGACATGGAAATCGGCCAATTAATCGACAATTATTAGGAAAAATGAATAAAAATCAATATTAATTCTTTTTATGAAGGAAAAAAATAAATATATTCAAAAGGAAATGAAATATGAAGAAAAACGAATGAATATGTTTATATTTCACTAAAAATATAGCACAGCTTTTGGCACAGAAATCAGACCAAAAGAAAAAAGAAATTAATATTAAAAATGGACTCGAATTAAAAAAACTGCTTAATAAGTAAATAACAAATTTGCTACACAGAAAATTAGGGTAAAGGAAAACGGAAATGATTATTAAACACGTACCAAATTGTTTTTGTGATTGAAAATGAATATTACAAACGTACCAGATTGTTTTTATGACCAGAAATAGGAATGAATTTTACACACAAAAATCTATTATTAATATTATGTTACTAATAGGCATGGGAATCATGCCAAATGAAAAAAGGATTTAATATTAAAAATTTATTGGAAATATAACACAATTTTCCCTACAAAAAAAATTAGTAACCACCAAATGAAATATTAGGAAAAAATTATGAAGGAAAAGGAAATGGAAATAAATATTAACTCTTTCTATGAATGAAAAAGGAAATGAATATATCCATATTTCACTTAAAATATAATCAGTAATTATATTATTATAATTATATTAATTATTTATGAAGGAAAAAGGAAATGAATATGAACAGAAAAAAATAAATTTTACACACGAGAATCTATTATTAATATTTTGTTACTAATAGACACAGGAATCAGGCCAAATGAAAAAAAGATTTAATATTAAAAATTTATTGAAAATATAACACCGTTTTCCCTACGAAAAAATTAGTAACCACCACATGAAATATTAGGAAAAAAATTATGAAGGAAAAAGAAATGAAAATGAATATTAACTCTTTCTATGAGTGAAAAAGGAAATGAATATACTCATATTTCATTTAAAATATAATCAGTAATTATATGATTATAATTATTATACTTATATTAATTATTTATGAAGGAAAAATGAAATCAATATATTAATATTTTATTGGAAATATAATCAGTAATTATATTTTTATAATTATATTATTTTTTAATCAGAAAGGAAATGAATATTTCACACAGAAATCCGTTATTAATATCCTAATCGACATGGAAATCAGGCCAATTAATCGACAATTATTAGGAAAAATGAATAGAAATCAATATTAATTCTTTTTATGAAGGAAAAAAAAAAACAGAAATGAATATATTCAAAAGGAAATGAAATATTAAGAAAAACGAATGAATATGTTTATATTTTACTGAAAATATAACACAACTTTTTAAATTTTTAAATACAAATTATAATGAATGAAATTATATTATAGAATTTTTATATATACATATTAATAAATATTATGTGTATATACAATGTATTATTCAATCATATAAGGATATGCGTCCGATTAGAGTTTATATCTATTCATACAAAATTTAGAATTTACATTTTTATCGATTTCTAAGTACAATTTTCTTAGTTATTATTATTCATATTTTTGAAATTATAATATATATGAAATACAATTTGGAATAAATCAATTTAATTTTATAAATTTTTTTCTATAAACTTATCTAAATATGTACATGATTAGAGATTATACTAACCATACAATATTTTAATTTTAATTTTGTATGTTATGAAAATAGATACTTGACCAAATATATAAAAGTCCAACTATATTATTATATTGTACATTTTAAAATCTTTTTATTTTTCTAATTTAATTTTAAATTCATAATAACAAAAAAAAAATAAAAATTCTCGAGTAAAACACTATATTTTAAAAAATACAATTTGATAAATATCATAAATTAATTAATACAATATCATTTATATTTATAATAATTAAAGAAAAAAATAAATAATTCAAATATGTGAACCAATAATTTCAAAATGAAATTAATATATAGTTACAAATAAATATAGCATGATTACATTTACTTTAATTAGTTTTAATTCCCTTAATGATATGACTTTTCTTTATCAGTCGTTTATGGGAGGCTAAGGGAGTGTTTGAGTTGGTGGAATTTTTATTTTTTTAAATACTTACTAATAAAAAATAATTTTAAAATATTTTTTAACACCTCATACCGTTTGTAAATCTTATATTTTTTAAACAATACAATTTGATAAATATCATAAATTAATTAGTACAATATCATTTCTGTTTATAAATTATAATAATTAAAAACAAATTCAAATATGTGAACCAATGATTTCAAAATGAAATTAATATACAGTTACAAATAAATATAGCATGATTAGATTTACTTTAATTAATTTTAATTTCCTTAATGAAATGACTTTTCTTTGTCAGTTTTTTTTTTTTTATGGGAGACTAAGGGAGTGTTTGGATTGTTGAAAATATTTTAAAATAAAAATACATACAAATAAAAAATAATTTAAAATATTTTTTAACCCCTCATAACATGTGTAAATGTTATATATTTTTTAAAATACAATTTGGTAAATATCAAATTTTTGTTTATAATAGTTAAAGAAAAAAAATAAATAATTCAAAAATGTGGACCAATGATTTCAAAATGAAATTAATATACAATTGCAAATAAATATAGCATGATTAGATTTACTTTAATTAGTTTTAATTTCCTTAAAAGACTTTTCTTTATCAGTTTTTTTTATGGGAGCCTAATGGAGTGTTTATCCTGCTGGAAAATATTTTAAAATAAAAATACATGCTAATAAAAAATAATTTGAAATATTTTTTAACCCCTCATAACATGTGTAAATGTTATATATATATATATATATATATATATATATATATATATATATATATATATATATATATATATATATATATATATATATATTTTAAATACAATTTGATAAATATCATAATTTTTGTTTATAATAGTTAAAGAAAAAAATAAATAATTCAAAGATGTGAACCAATGATTTCAAAATGAAATTAATATACAGTTACAAATAAATATATCATGATTAGATTTACTTTAATTAGTTTTAATTTTCTTAATGAAATAACTTTTATTTTTCAATTTTTTATTAGAGACTAAGGGAGTGTTTGGGTTGCTGGAAAATATTTTAGAAATAAAAATACTTACTAATAAAAAATAATTTTAAAATATTTTTAATCCCTAAACATGAGAAAATTTTACATTTAAAAAAAATACAATTTGATAAATATTATAAATTAATTATTGCAATATCATTTATGTTTACAACGAGAATAATTAAAGAAAAAATAAATAAATCAAATATGTGAACCAATGATTTCAAAATGAAATTAATATAACATGATTAGATAAAGTGACTAATGCCCCTCTTTTGGGTGAAAGGGCTGGCCTGGAGATTTAAAGTTGCTCAATTCCCAAAGGCAATGATCAAATCCTTGCATTTGGTTAAGGATGGATGCGTTTCTTCCACTCAACCACACCCTCCAAGTTCTTAGTGAAATGACTTTTTTTTCTTCCAAAAGGCTGAACCCCAACCCTAATGGCCCCCCACACCCCGGCCCGACAGAGCATTTGGGAGGATGTAAATCATGGTGACTCAACTGAACATGAACCACAGAGGCTAGATCGGTGCTGACTTTTTTTTTTTTTTTTTTTTTATAAGGAAGGGGATACCCTACATATACACACTATTTGTCTTTCGCCCTTCTGATACGAGATTGCCATTCAAGTTCTAACGAAAACAATTCACGTTGATGCTCGCATATGCCATGACTATCAACAAAAGTCAGGGTCAAACACTAAATCACGTTGAGTTATTACTAAAAAAACTCGTCTTTAATCACGGTTAATTGTATGTGAATTTTTCCCGAGTCATCCATCCTGATGGTCTGATGGTTTTAACTCTAGACGAGGATGGATAAAATTCTATTACTACTACCAATGCTGTCTACAAAGAGATTTTCAATAATGTATAATTCAAGTTATTGATATTATGGTTTTTTATATACAAAGATGACAAAATTGCTATATATCTACATAGAAAATATATCTTCCGTGTAAATAATTTCTATAACTGAGTTGCTAGACAACGAGCTAATTAGTCCAATTAATACAATTTCTAAACACTGATATATAAAATCTCTAAAGTTGCAGCACCGAATGCGTATATCTACACGTTAACTATTAATTGGGCAATTATTTACTCGAATTCAAGTATTGATAACATCAGAAAACATAATCGGTGCAACTCAATTCTTCAATTATATTATATAATATTCGATGTTATAATTTATACAATTGTATATCGATCTAAATATTTTTAAAATATTATAACAAATTCATTCCGTGCAACGCACGGGCGCAAATACTAGTTCTTCCAAAATAAAATAATCATAATAATTTTAAATTAATTTCTATATTTGTAGAATTAGCTTTAATTGGTATATATTTATTTCTTCAATACATATAATTTTAATGTAATCTATTCTAAAATAATTAAGAAATTGAAACATGCCATTTATTAATAAAAGTTAGTATTGATTCCATTTATTAAAATAAATGCAACGTATAATATAGCACTAGTTACCACACGTGTATTGCACAAATAGTCTAATACCCAATATATATTTTTAAATTAGTGTTTCAAAATTTATCAAAGTAGCATTTGGTATCCTGACATATATTAATGGAATATTATTAAATTTTTCATAAAAGTACACATTTCAATAATGCATATTATGTTATTTTATATTAGGTTTAAATTATTGTTTACAAATATATATTGGAGGCGGTGGAGTGTATAAGGCAATTTATATAATTTATATCATGGACCAGGGTTTACATTGGATTATGGACCTTAAATCGAAACGAAGAGGTACATAATTCATACTCGTAAGGTGCAAAATTTAATGGCAAATTTTACTGTGGACTATGGTCCAAAACGGTGTCGTTTCTTTTAATGAAAAGAAACGGCACCCGTTCCGTGTAATTAGTAATGTTTGTATAACATATTCAATTTCAATTATATACAATGTAGTTTCATTTCATTTTATATACAATGTAGTTTCATTTCAACACAACTAAAGTTTCATTTTCTTTCAACTACAGTTTCATTCGACATTATACATAGAATAGTCTTATTACAATGAGATATGCATGTTATTGAATTTCATTTTATACAGACTTATTACAACACCAAAAAATTATAATTCTAATTCAACTATGGTTTCATTGGACAATATACACTCAAATATGTGAAACTGTTATTTAGTTTCATTTTACATATACTGTAGTTTCATCACAACACAACTAAAGTATTATTTTGATATAACTACAATTTCATTTGACAATATAAACTTAATATGTGAAACATGTTATTCAGTTTCTTTTTATACATACTGTAGTTTCATTTCAGCAAAACTAAAGTATCATTTCAGTTCAACTACAGTTCTATTTGACAATATACACTCAATATGTGAGACATGTTATTCAGTTTCATTTTATACATACTGCGGTTTCATTTTAACACAACTAAAGTATCATTTCAATTCAATTACAGTTTCATTTGATAATATAAACACAATATGCGAGACAAGCTATTCAATTTCATTTTAAATACATTGTAGTTTCATTTTGTTATAAACACACAAAAAATATGGGATTTGTTAAAATTTAACGGCGGTCATTTCTTTACTTAAAGAACCGGCGGACCATGGTCCACGGTATAACAACTAAATTTCATAACACAAGACACATTCACTTGTTATATATTTACTTATTTTTCAAATATGATTTAGGTACATAATTTGTGTTCATATGCATAAAATTTCACAACACAAGACACAAAGGACTCGTTCCTCAACTGAGGCAGAATACAAAGGACTTGCTGATGTTTCTGCAGAGGTTACTTGGCTTGTATCTCTGATGAAGGAACTCGGGTTTGCGCCACCTTCTGCGCCCAAACTCTGGTGTGATAATCTGGGTGCTACTTATCTATGTGCTAATCCGGTGTTTCATGCTCGCACCAAACACATTGAGATCGACTACCACTTTGTTCGCGATAAAGTAGCAAAGAAGGAATTACAAGTCAATTTTATTTCTACCAAAGATCAGATAGCGGATATTTTTACTAAGTCTCTTTCGTCTGTACGTTTTAATTTATTCTATTCCAAGCTCAATGTTTTGGCTAACCAAACTTGTGCTTGAGAGGGAGTATTAGGACTATATTATTCATATTAGACTAGGACTATATTATTCGTGTTAGACTAGGATTCTATCTAGCATCTCTATATATTCGATCCCTCTACTCTCAGACATTATTATTGAATACAACACAATTATATTCTCATCCCTACTACCACAGTAAAGCAAAAACAGATTATATATTTTTTCTTTATTTTTAATAATATATATTATATAATTATTAAATTGTTATAGAAAAATTATTTTATATATCAAGTGACATTATGACATTATGTTTTACTAGAAATTTGAAAGTAATTTGTACAAAATGTTAATTGCATATTTTTTTGTACAAAATGTAAAAGTTCAATGATCTATTTGACTTATATATATATATATATATATATATATATATATATATATATATATATATATAATTTTGTTTCAATAATATTGTATCTTTACATGTCTGTTTAGGTGATATATTTCTATTTCTATCGAAAAAGAAATAAGAGTGACATTATTGAGTATAGATCCAAATCTCAGAGATAATAATACTAAGAGTTAATTTTATTTTTGGTTATAGATTTATAGGTGGTAGTTCACTTTTAATATTTTTTTATCAGAATATTCACATTTAGTCCTAATATTATTGTGGCATAACTATTTTTGATCATCCGACAATAAAATTGTTGAAATATCATTAAAAAAAGACATTTCGATCATTTTTATACAAAGTGTGTTGACTCCGTTATATTTTTGTGTTTATTTTTTTGAAAAAGTCTGTAATTGAAGACCGAAATGGCTTTTATATTTAACGATATTAAAATTGTTTTGTTGGCAGATGACCAAAAAATAGTAATAGTAATACTATAATAATAATAGAACCAAATATGAATGTTGTAATAAAAAATGATTAAAAGTGAACTGTTATCTATAAATTTCAGACTAAAATTGGAATTAACTCAAATATTTATATCTTCGTGGTATCTTCCTTCATTTCTTCCAATTCAGTTTAAAGCCTTTTTCTCTGTATTAAGTAGTAAATCAAGTTTATTTTTGCCCTGATTGGTTGTCAACACCCCCATCCCTCCGTCACCACCCCACCCAATTCCAATCTCTCTCTCTCTCCCTCTCCGAGTCGAGCTGTCCATTAACGCGTTCACGCGTTTAGTTGGCACTACCCTTTTGCTGATATCTGCAATATATAAATATATATCCCAACCCCATTCTTGATTTCAGCAGGTGCAGATCCAATATCGCAATTGCCTCTGCATCTGTTAGCCTTTTAATAAAAATATATAAAATTGCCTCTTTTTTGTTCCTCAATCGAATAGCCCAGTGTTAGATTTGAAAGCTTTATAGTCGAAAATTCAGGTGGTTTTGTTTCTTGTTTTGGGTATTCCGGGGTAGATTTGAGGGGGGAAAAGATTGATACTTTGGGAAAGAATTGAGAAATGCCGTCGTTGGAGGAGGAGCTGTTCCCGTCGACGCCGGGGAAGTTCAAGGAGAGGCACACAATGAATCGGATGGTCCACCGGTGCTGCGCGTCGACGAGTACGATGTTTCTTTGGGCGCTGTTCTTGATTGCTCTGACGGCGTCGTATCTGAGTTTTCAGTCGTTCATGGATTCCGGCAGCCGGTATTTCTCCTCCACGTGGGGCGGGCTCCATTGGGAGAGACAGGTACGCGCCTCCGCTCAGATCCGGCGCCACAACGGGATGTCGGTGTTGGTAACCGGCGCCGCCGGATTCGTCGGGAGCCACGTGTCCCTGGCCCTGAAAAAGCGCGGCGACGGGGTGGTGGGGCTGGACAACTTCAACGACTACTACGACCCGTCGCTGAAGAAATCGCGGCGGGAATTGCTCGGCGCGCAGGGGATCTTCGTGGTGGAGGCCGACGTCGACGACGGCCGTTTGTTGGCCAAGCTTTTTGAAATGGTGGCGTTCACGCACGTGATGCATTTGGCGGCGCAGGCGGGGGTGAGATATGCGATGGAGAATCCCCACTCGTATGTCCACAGCAACATCGCCGCCCTCGTCACGCTCCTCGAGGCCTGCAAGGCGGCGGAGCCGCAGCCCGCCGTCGTCTGGGCGAGCTCGAGTTCCGTTTACGGGTTAAACGAGAAGGTACCGTTTTCCGAGTCGGATCGGACGGATCAACCCGCTTCTCTCTACGCCGCCACCAAGAAAGCCGGCGAGGAAATTACCCACACCTATAACCACATCTACGGCCTTTCCATCACGGGCCTCCGATTCTTCACCGTCTACGGCCCGTGGGGAAGGCCCGACATGGCGTACTTCTCATTCACCCGGAATATTCTCCAAGGAAAGCCCATCACCATTTACCGGGGCAAGAACCGGGCCGACTTGGCCCGAGACTTCACTTACATTGACGATATCGTGAAAGGGTGCGTGGCGTCGCTGGATACTGCGGGCCGGAGTACCGGGTCGGGCGGGAAGAAACGGGGCCCGGCTCCGTATCGGATCTTTAATCTGGGCAATACTTCGCCCGTTACAGTGCCCATGATGGTAGGGATATTAGAGAAGCATCTGAAGGTAAAGGCGAAGAAAACCGTCCTGGAAATGCCCGGAAACGGCGACGTTCCGTTCACGCACGCCAATATCAGCTCGGCCCGAAGAGAGCTCGGGTATAAGCCCACAACCGATTTGCAAACCGGGCTGAAGAAGTTCGTTAAATGGTATCTCTCCTATTACGGCTACAATCAAGGCAGGTCTGGAAAGGGATTTCGTTGAGTTTTTTTTTTTTTTTTTTAGGTTTCGTATTTTCCAAAATTGTTGCAATTTTTTATTTTTATTTTTAAAATTTCAAGAGAGAGGTAAGTCTGATCTGAAGAAATTCCTAGTAAAGAAAAAATGAAAAATTCTTTTCTTGCTGTGGGGTGCGTAGTGGTTAAGATGACAGCTCATCCCAATTTTTAGATTTTTTATTTTTATTATTTCTTTGTGTAAAGGGATAATATTACTACAAAGGGTTCCTCAATTTTAGGCCCCACGTTAACGCATATATGATAGATCTATCTCTCTACTTTTGCTTTTCCTTTTTCTTTAATTTGGTGCAATCATTTCACATTTTGTTTCTCCAAGTAATTTGCTAAAGAAAATGAAAATGCGATATATGTGTTTGATTTCATTTATTATTCATAGTTACTGTTACACACTCAAATATTTAATTTATTTCGGTTATCGGTGGGAAATTCTCAAGAGTAAAATTGTCCTTTCACAATTGTTGAGACTCCTTAGCTATTGGAAGAGCATTGCATGTGCTCCTCCCAGAAGAACACTGCAAGTGCATCCGGAAGAGCACTGCATGGCTCTAAGCACCTAAGGGTGCTTAATAAAATAAAAGATTTATGGGAGTGTTTGGTAAATAGTTGGTAGTTGATTGAGTTAGTGTGTTTGATTAGTTGATAGTATTAGCTGATTGTAGTAAAATGTTTGGTAAATTAGCACTTAGCTGATAATTGATTACATGCAAAATAACTTACTCAAAAAACTAATCGAAAAAGTTGCTTTGAGCAATTTTTTGAATTTTAGCATTTTGGAGCAATAAGTTATTACAAAAAGCTGGATCAATAAACTATTACAAAAAGCTAATTAACCAAATACTCATATTAATTGTTTAACTAAGTTAAAAAGCTAATAGGTGGTCAAAAAAGCCATGATGTAGTAAATGCGGGGATTACTACAATTCGTAATTATAGAGGTCGGTTCTGGTTCGGTTCATTTCTCTAGTCGGCTTGTTGGTTTAAATATTTAGGCTCGGGGACTTGACAGTAGGACAGAGGTTCCCGAATTAACAGTTCGTGTGTAGAAGTTGCCAAACTCCCTTCTTATATGCAATTAATGCGGTATTTATAAGGGTGTCAAGGGTAGGTGCTAGTCCCTCGGCATGTAAAGCACATGGAACACATGCAAAGGCCAGATCAGCAGTCGTTGCGGAGCCAACCACGTGTGTTTAGATTCCTGCAGCCTTAAGATCCAACTATTAATAAGCTTACCCAGTACTTCAAGTGCCTAAGGTCGGGGTCCGGTCCCGACCTCGAACCCCAGTCTATCGCCCAAACCTTCTCAATCACCAACTCAAGGTCGGGAGGACAGGCACTCGGGTCAGTTTCGATCGGTTTGGGCTCTGCACCAGTAGTGGGCTCGACCCCGGTCTATTACTAACTACGGTATGGTCGAGGTATATTCTCCATCAAATCAAAATTGGCTGATAAACTAATAACTATGTTACCAAACTGGATCAATATGTTTTTGTTCATGGTAGTAGAATATATTTACTAACATTATTGGTATATAAAGAATAATAATTCCATTTATATAGAGATTTTAATGTCTTACAATATAGAAATATATTGATAAAGAATTTTTATTCATAATTCTGAACCATCTTCTTCTCCCTTGAATTTCTTAATCTTCGTGCCTGTTGGAGGAAACAACGATTCAACCTCGTCTAATAGATTGAGCAGCTAGCTTGGCGGTTGTTCGAGTTCTCTTTTCTGGTGAAATCTTGGGCCAAGTTTTCTTGGGTGCTGGCGGACACTCTGTGATCATTGGGATACTGTGTTCCAAAGAAGCAAATGCAGTGTTTTGGAAGGAGTCTCAACAATTGTGAAAGGACAATTCTATACTTGAGAAAACGGGGTCAAACAATACGGTCAAAATCTAACGGAAGGACTGTTGATGGAATGAAATCAAAAGTAAGGGGACTAATGGTGATGGATTTAATAGTTGAGGATTAAAAGTAACAGTACCATAATAGTCTGAGGATGTCTTTAAGTATTTACTCAAATAAGTTATCACTTTTCTCATATTGTAGTATTCTATTTGTCACATTTTATAGTTATGTTTACTATTCATTAGTCAAATCAACTCTTTCTTATTTGTTTATTTTTTTTTTAAATTATTTTTACATATTTTAAGTATAATTTTTGAGTTAATTCCAGCAATAGTCCTCTGACTATTGCGATTTTTCAAAATTGATCTTCGTCTTTTAATTTGGACGAAATAGACTCTTGACTATCAGATTTGTTCCAACATTAATCCTTATGTTATCTACTATTCGTTTGTTAGCCGTGAGTTAAGGGATCAAAATCGTCTTTTCATTAGCTTGGTCTCTTCTTCCTCCATTGATGCGTCAAAGACGTGCTTACAGACTGTGGAGACTCGAAACAAAGGCCAGTGTTTTACCCTGTAATTTCCAAAAATATAGGTAACAAAATTTACTCCAATTATGTTAACCCGTTGAATTAAACAACTAAATAATCTATTGGAAACATTATCAAGAAACTCCAAAGACTTGAATTTGTGAGCAAAAACAAATGAATAACCAGAAACTAAACAGTTCCTACCGACCAAATCAGTACCATCCAAAATGGTATCAAAGGTCATAGCTTGAATCTTAAACAACGACTCAATTCCTTAGCTTTCAAAGCCTCTCTGAGAGGCTTTGAAATTCGGAAATTGGTAATCGCGTTCGGATCCTCCTCCTCGTCACTACCAACCGCCTCCATCAACTTGGCATTCTTTTTCTTTTCCGCCTTGAAGTTCACCGGCTCCACCAACTCGGAACTGGTCTCGCTCCCCTGCTCATCGCCGCTATCAATCTCGACAGCATTCCGCTTCTTCTCCTTCTTCTCCACTAAGCTCCCCTCGGGATCAGACTCCGAATCAACCTTACTATGCTTTGACTTCTTCTTTTCAGAGTCTAGGGTTTCAGCGGCTGGTTTTGGAGTCTTCTTTCCCTTCGTCTTTTTCAGGTCTTTTGAGGCTTCAGAGGCCATGGCTTCAACAACAATGACGGAAGGCATTGTAGGTGTGGAAGGGAAGGGAAGTTGGCGTATTGAGAGAGAGAGAGGCAATGGTAGCTCTCATGCTGTGAGAAGGATGTGGCAACGAGAAGCAATAGGAGGAGATGAAAGAGGAAAGAGGAGGGGTCTCGAAACGTCCGCCATTGAAATGAACAGAGAGAGAAAAAAAATCATACCTTTCAAGTTTGTTGCTTTGATTACGAAGAAGACGTCGGAGAAAATGGGAGTTTTTGGATTTGCAAATACGTTTGTTGTTTGTTGGGCATCCGTGGACGATTTGATTTCGTGGAATGAAGATGGATCTGCATTCATTGTTTGGCGGCCGGCGGAATTCGCCAGAGATTTGATTCCCCATTGTAAGCACGTCTTTGACGCAACAATGGAGGAATAAGAGACCAAGCTAATGAAAAGACAATTTTGACCCCTACACTCACGGTTAATAGATGGATAGATAACAGAATGATTAATACTGGAACAAATATAATAGTCAAGGGTCTAATTTGTCTAAATTAAAAGACGATGACCAATTTTAAAAAATCACAATAGTCGGAGGATCATTGCTGGAATTAACTCTATAATTTTTTGTCTTTAATAGTATTTTGATATAGTTTCTAAATATATAAATTTTATATACTAATACTAAACTTAATATTATGACAGATTGAATTAAAAATAACTTCAATCAAATACAAACCAATGATCTCTCATGTGAGAAAGCTATTTTTTTTTTTTTTTTTGATGGACAAGGAGGGGGTATCCCGAAAAAAGAGAGAGCTAATTGCTACTTTTTCTAGGCCAGCTCGCTCGGAAACGGTCATGATCAACAAGATCTTCCAAGATGGGAGGGCACTGCTCAAGTTTGCGCCAGTGCACATTTAGATTCGCACTCATATTGGCAAGGGCATCGGCACAAACATTCTGCTCGCGGTAGATATTCTGGATGGAGGCTTTCCAGTTTTTGTTCATCCACATGTTTATATCTTCAACATAGTCGCTCATTGGTCCTCTTAACTCAGCGCAATTTGATATCCAGTTCGTCACCTGCTTAGCATCAGACTGAACTTCGATGTCTCTAATTCCATACTCCCACAAGACCACAAGTTCATTGGTCAATACATACTTAAGATATTTATTCACATTTACATCCATTTAATTGTGATTCATAAAGAGTATATCCTTGAAGTACAAGTTTTGTAAATAAACTAAATCAACTCTTGTCAAGTGATTCTTAGAGAATAGAAATTTCACATTATATAAAGCATTTTCAAGTGTTTTAACTAATAATTAATCGTCAATACTTAACAAGTATAGAATATAATTTCATACTTGTAATATATATATATATATATAAAACACTCTCATTATATCTCAAACTCTTTGAAATTTATTCAAAATAAATAATTAAATATTTTGGAGATGTTAAGAATTATTCAAAATGTAACATGCCACAATTGTGTCCATGTTCATAATTTTATCATATGTTTTATTTAATTAAAATTATTTAAATTAAAATATAATATAACATGGTCAAATTATATCTGTTCATCACTCAATTGGGCTATAAGATTACAATTGGCCTTGATTAGTTCAACAACCCAAAGTCAAGCTTATTTGGGCTAATCAAAGCAACTCATTTATTTTAATCCAACACATTACCATGGCCCAATTAATTAAAATGACCAAATTTTACTGTGGACCATGGTGCATGTAGTAGTGTGGTCCATAAATTAAGTATCATTTTAATTAAACTTTAGTTTTATTTGATAATATTGCTTTGCTTTTCAATTTCATTTTTAACACACACTAGTTTCATTATATCAAATACCAAACTATCATTTTCATTTTATTACAGTTTCATTTGACAGTATACATTATTGCATGGGCTCTATTTTGTAATTTCATTTTCTACATGCATAGTTTAATTATAGTAAATTAAAGTATTATTTTAATTAAACTCTAGGTTCATTTGACAATATGTTATTGTATAACTCTGAATTTTAGTTTCATTTTTCATACATACTAGTTTCATTATAACAATACTAAAGTATCATTTTAATTATAGTACAGTTTCATTTGACAATATACGTTGTTGAATGAGCTATGTTTTTTAATTTCATTTTTCACACACACCAGTTTTATTATAGCAACACTGAGCATTATTTTAACTCTACTACGTACAGTTCCATTCGACGACCATGATCCACCTAACACTGTGGACCATGGTCCACTGTATAACAACTGATTAAAATGATCCTATAACAAATTTCAAAGTAAGTCTCAATAATAATTTTATCAGTCCACTTGTCATTTTCAAACTTTCTCTGTCTATAGCCACTACCATCGGTAATTTATCATGGACTAGGGTCCACATATCATTATGGACTATTGATTGAAACAATAAGGTACATATATAATCCATACTTGTAAGGTACAAAATTTTATAACATAAAATACAAAAAATCACAACACAATAAGACACATAGCATAACATTATAGACCCAATTGGAGTGAAAAGGTGAGGTACATAATTCATAATCATAAGGTACGGAATTTCATAACACAAGACATATACACATGTTATATATTTACTTATTTTTCAAATATGATTTAGGTACATAAGTTGTGTTCATAGATACAAATTTCATAATACAAGATACATATATTTCTAGTTTGTTCTAAGTACAAAAATCATACTTTTAAGATACAAACTTTCATAATGCAAGACACAACAAGTCATAACACAAAATACAAATACTTGAATCAAGATCCATAGTGCAGTGTGAATCCTGATCCACGTTTAGGAAGGAGGATGATTATTGATTGACCTGTAGATCAGATCTTTTAAGGAATAGGGAATAATTAATTAATCCCGGCAGAAAACTTAAAAGCTAATCAAGTTGATAACATTATATTTAATTTAATGATCGACAACCTTATTATAAACCCAAAGTTGAGGCTCAAATTAAAGTTGATCAGATTTCCGGCAGGTAATGATGGCATATTTGATCACACCTTTCTTGAATCCTTCAATAATCATCTGCAGCAGTGCCGGTGCTAGGCAGAACGGGGCAACGTTTTCAGACCAATCCGCGACCTTGATGTCCTGATACAAGAATTATATATATATATATATAAATATATAAGCTTCTCTCAAAAAGGTTTAGGCCTTGTTTAGTAAAAAATTGGTCTATAGGCTAATTTTACTTTATTTGATCACTATTAATTATTTGATTTTGTTAAAATATCAATATAAATGTTTGGTTAATTAGTTTTTTGCAATTCCAAAAGGCTAAAATTCAAAAAGTTACTCAAAGTAACTTTTGCAATTACCTTTTTAGAAAAGAAATTATATCAAACAGCTATCAGCTAACAACTAATTTACCAAACATTTTTCTACAATCAGCTAATGTTATCAACTATTTATACTCTCTAATTAACACAATCAGCTAACAGCCATTTTACCAAACAGGGCCTTAATCTCCAACCTCAAGGCCCCTCACATCCCGCTCCGACATAGCATTTGGGAGAATATAAATCACGGTTACTCAATGACTCGGCAGACAGGCAATTTATATCGTGCACCAGGGCACGCATTGCATTGTGCGCCCTAGTGCAAAAAGACGTCGTTTCGGATTTTTTTTTTTTTAATTTCGTTATCCTGTGTGGGCTATTAATTTTCTTTAAAAAAAATCTCATGTTAAAAAATGTACATAATTGTATAACAAAATACACATACTTTTTTTTTTTTTTTGAAAAGATAATACACATAATCTAACATAATACATAATACACAAACTCTTAATATAATACACATAAACTCTTAACATTTTTTTTTTTGAATGCACCTAAACTCTTAACATAATACACATAAATTTCCTGTTTCGGATGTACATAACTGTATAAAAAAATGTACATAATTGTATGCTATAATGTACATAATCGCGTCAACTCCCTACATAACTTATCAAAACTACGTCGTTTTAAGAGGCGGAGGGCGCACAGTGCTATGTGCGCCGTGGTGCAGGATTAAACAATTGCAGCAGACATTGTCAAATGTTGGTGCACACTCATTTTGGGCATGCATAATCCCCACACTAGCGTTAAAGTTCGAACTAAGGATGATCTCTTCCCCCAAATACTGTCTACTGAACTAAATTCATGCCGGCTATATATAAATATAAAAGCTAATAATTAGTAAGAGTGGTAGTAAGTATAGTAGTTAGGAGTTATAATTTGTGGTGTTACCTGAAGAGAGTTGGATTGAAGTAGGTTTACATAATTAGAAGCAGAAGACCATGGTGAAAGACAAGCAGCATTGAGTATGTTGTTCAACAGCTCTTTATCTTGTTGTGTAGGGGAAGAACCATCTTCCCTTTGGCAACATGTAACTACGATGATTGTGCCACCTGGGGCTGCCACTCGTTCCAGCTCCGAAACAAACTATACTTAGTTTAATTTCGATCATCACCAACCAAATTATTATTATTATATTAATTAATTAAACGAATTGGTCCAAATATAATTACTAGCTAGCTATAGATCATATCCAGAAGGAAACACGATAGATTATCACCTTTGCTTTGTTTGGAATATGTTCCGCGGTTTCCATGCACCACACCAAATCGAATTCTCCATCTGGAAAGGGCTGATTCACCGCATCTGCAACTTGAAAACAAACCTGCTACTTTGCATATATATATATATATATATATATATATATATATATATATATATATATATATATATATATATATATATATATATATATATATATATATATATATATATATGCTTTCTCGTTAGTTAATCCATCCAGTTAGTTATTATAATAAAATATATATATATGGATTCGAAAAGTAGTAATGAAAAAAGATTAAAGAGCGATGACCTTTTCCCCCAATCCCTGGGCAGCAGCTAGAGCTTGAGCCCTCTTTACTTGGTTAGGGCTTAGAGTGATGCCCTCACATTTGGCAGAATATTTCCTGGCTAAGTAATTACAACTGCCTCCAATACCTCATCCAACATCTACTATCTTCTTTGGTTTCTTCTCTGGATCACCTGAAACGTTAAGGGTGTGTTTAATTGGTTGGGGATCAGACTTTTGCACCCAATTATATATGATCGAGTTTTGATACTCATTACACTGTTGGAAATTATGAAATTTCCGACCACCTGAAAATGATCTTAAATCAAGTCGAAAGTCTTGTTCCGATCACTTTTGAAATTCGGAAAAACCTTTGTTGCTATTTCCGACCACTTTTTGCTTTCGACTTGATATAAGATCACTTTCAGATGATCGAAAATTTTATAATTCCCAACAGTGTTATTATGTTTAATTTG